AAAGACAAAATTCCCCAAAAGGAAAGAGAGAAAAGAATAATCATCCATGTACATGTCAGGTGTAAAACATTGCATGAGATATTACAGAAAAAAAACATTAAGAGCATAGGATATAAATGTTCTGACACCTCATGTCTTACATGATGGGAGAGACAAAAGTCTTAGGAAAAAAATAAAAATTTGAACCAAGTCTATAATGTTAAGTAGAATTTGAGAAAAGAAATAGAAAACCATTATTATGACAGGTGAAAGATACATCAATTACAAGCGAATGGAGGCACCAGTGACTATACCCATATTTTGTCAAAAAGATCAGCCTAACATAAGAATTTATGTGGAACAAGAGTTAAAAATGGAATTAAATTTACATTATGGAAGCAGATATCTCATTCTTAGTAAGTGCAGAATCTAGCTATTCTTTTATACATTTATTAAATACCTGCTTCAGGCCAAAACTAGTGTAGATGCTAGAGAAGCAAGTGACCCAAACATAGGGCAAGCTCCTAAAATGTTCTCAGGCTGAAGGAGAGGCCAGCAAGTTACTGTAGTGGCAGAATAGGAAGATGAATATAGACACAAAGAAGAGGAGATCAGGCATTTCTGGGAAATGATGCTTGATCTTGGCTGTATAGGTACATAGAACCCCAGCAGGTTAATGTAGGAGAAAGAGAAGTTAGCTAATGCAAAGGAACAGAAGCTAGAGGGGTGCTTTTCAAACAAGATGAAAGGGGTGAGTTTGGTGAGAGAGGAAGCATGTGATTACAGACCAGAACAGAAATAACACTAGGTATACACCTGGTGTTTGGAGGGTTTCTGAAGATTTAAGCAACAGAAAAAAGTGAGCATTGTAATTTCCAAATACTACTCAAGGATGATATTACTCCCAGGAATATTACTTGGGTAGAACAGCATGAAGGATGGATTAGGTTGGCTATAACAATCTCAGTTAATAATAGAAAGTCTCACATTATGGCAACAAGGTCATCCATTGGATCATTTTAACTCATTCTTGAATTTTGTGAAGAATTATTTTTCTGGTATTCTCAAAGACCAGGGACCCAAGCAAATTACTTCTATTGGTTTTGTTGCATGGAGAAAATATTTTTAAAATACTTTTATTTTTCTTTTCAGTGTTCCAGAATTCATTGTTTATGCACCACACCCAGTGCTCCATGCAATATGTGCCCTGCATAATACCCACCACCCGGCTCACCAAACCTCCCACCCATCTCCCCTCCAAAACCCTCAGTTTGTTTCTCAGAGTCCACAGTCTCTCATGGTTTGTTGCCCTCTCCAATTTCCCCCAACTCACTCCTCTCCATCTCCCCATGCCCTCCATGTTATTCCTTATGCCCCACAAATAAGTGAAACCATATGGTAATTGACTCTCTCTGCTTGACTTATTTCACTCAGCATAATCTCTTTCAGTCCCATCCATATTGGTACAAAAGTTGGATATTCATCTTTTCTGATGGAGGCATAATACTCCATAATACTCCATAATACTCCATAGTATATATAGACCATATCTTCTTTATCCATTCATCCATTGAAGGGCATCTTGGTTCTTTCCACAGTTTGGCAATTGTGGCCATTGCTGCTATGAACATTGGGGTACAGATGGTCCTTCTTTTCACTACATCTCTATCTTTGGGGTGAATATCCAATAGTGCAATTGCAGGATCATATGGAAGCTCTATTTTTAATTCCTTAAGGAATCTCCACATACTTATCCAAATTTGACCCCTCTGTAACTTTCCCATGTGTGATATAGTTTTCCTACTGAAACAAACAAACAAACAAACAAACAAACAAAAAAACCTCAGTATATATCGTTGGGCTGGCAGAAAGGGCTACTTAAGATGGTGAAAGTTCCCACCACAAGACCTGAGCTCAGACAGGAGAACAAAGGCCCAAGCAGGCATCTGAGACCCCCGCCCCGGGCTCCTATGGACCAATGGGACCCTGACAAGCGGGAATCTGAGACCTCGCTCTGGGCCCTGGTGGACCAATGGGACCCCGAGGAGCAGGCGAAATACCCGAATAAGGGAAACTTGCCAAAAGACCCTTGAGCTCCCCTCGAGACCCCTTAAAAGCCCCCTCCTCCCTGCCTTAGGGGCGACTTCCCCCACTCTGCTCCCAGAGTTGCGGAACCTCGCCCGAGAGTGCCTTCCTCCCCTCGCAATTTTCCTGGCTCTCCTTCACCTGAGCCCTGAAATTGCGCCCGAGAGGGCCTTTAATAAATCTTGCCTTGCACCCACTTTGCTTGGTGTTGTGCTTATCTCGCCGGAAAAACTTTACATATATTTCCTTCCCTTTAAAGTGAGAATACATTTAAGGAAAGATATTATCCTATATAATGGTACTTATACTGATAACAGCAAATCCTTCAAATAGATTTTTCAAGAGCGCATTTCTAGATTCCAACTCAACCTCCCCCCAAATACCCAGTGTATCAATGACCCAATTTTAAAATGTTGCCTGAACAAAGAAAAATTATAGATGTGGTTTGGCAGCTTCAAACATGGTGCCTTTAGATTTTTACAATCTGACCCATATTTCCACTAATGAAGGTTTTTTTCATAACTTCTCCATTCTTCTCCTCATTTTAAGCATGTTATTAAAGACACCAGAATTTTTTAAAATATGAAATTTCTCAACCACATTCCTTCCGCCTATCTTATAATGGTGACATTGAATTTTAAAGCAAAATCCTATTTAAGCTCTATATTTTTATTTTCAGTGAGCTTCTTGCCTGTTGGGGTAAGGTGGATTAGGCATTCCTGCCAGTTTTGCATCACCATAGATTTGCATGTTTTTCATGAAGTGGAGGAGTGAAAAGGTCAGGTTTCTGGGCTCCAGGTGTAGACTCGCTTTATCCCATAGCAGCTCTGATCTCCCCTAACAGGTTTCATAACCCCCTGAGCCTCAGTTTCTTTCCACTTACTACTTATGTTCACCATTTATTTAGCATCACTTTTTATATGCAAATAGTGTGTAAGTTAAGTGTAAAGATCATCTATCTGGAGATGAGGAAATGTAGAGGGCTCTCTAGTTGTTAAAATACGGGAAGCAGGAATTGAACCATGACAACAAACTTCCTCTCTTCCCATACAGTTTCATGGGTTCTGTTGTGCTTTTGGTTTTTTGTTCATTATTATCATTATTATTTAGTAAAATGATCATTTTTGATGAGGGAGCAGGAGGCTGGCTGAAAACAAAGCAAAAGCTGGCTCCTTGCACCCCCTCTCCACCCGCTCCCCTCGGTAATGTGTGTGACATTCCACAGGCACCCCTGACCGCCATAAGAAACAAATTGTTAACTTGCAGAGATCACAATCCTGCAAGACAGGAATCTCCCAACTATCTTGATGTTAATGGCTTGCTAAAAGACAAAAGTGGTCTCCTGGCACCTTGTAGGCCCTCTTTAGCATATGAAAACTCCTTGAAACCTCCCTTCCCCTCATCTTCCCCCAACCACAGGGTACATAACCTGCCATCCCTCACAACCCGGGGCAGCAGCTCTTCCTGCCCACGGGTCCTGTCCCCATGCTTTAATAAACCACCATTTTGCACCAAAGATGTCTCAAGAATTCTTTCTTGGTCAGCTCTGGACCTCAGCCCACCGAACCTCACCTAGGTTCTAGAACTTCATCAATTATGAGAATAGACAAGTCATTTATTTCTGTATACTTTCTATTCCCATGCATCCTTTAGGGCACTCGATCTTTCTCCAAACCCTGAAAGCTGAACATTATCTTTTGCATTTTTATGCAAGAAGGCTGATGTTCAAAGTGTTGATGTTACTCTCCCAAAGTCCTCAGTTCACTCAGTTCCTCATTCTGCCAGAACAGTGATAGGCAGAATGTGGATTGAGAAAAATTTCTCCCGTTAAAACACTGTGCTTATCGCCCTACAATGGGTGTTCCAAGCATATACACAGTGTCTACCCCTGAAACAGAATCCTAAGCCCCATTTCCTGAATCATGTTTTTTTTTTCATTTTTTATTAAAATTAACCTATATTTGCTACTACTGATTACACACTGCCTAAAAATGCTTACAAAATAGCATTTTTAAAGAAAGAGAATAATCTCCTCCCAGTATCTTCAGGGTTTCTCACCACACTTAAAGATAATCAATCCCAGAATACTGCTTTCTCTCCTCCTGAAACACAGCATTACATTTGCCTCTCTTATGTGGTGGTACTTTTTCTGATCCTCAGAAAGTGTCCACAATTATGAACATTTGCAAGCTAACTCAATACACTGTGCTGTAATATCTATGAGTCAAAAGAATTAAATATATGTCAAAATGCAAGGTGCTCATTCCTAGTTGCCTGACAATATGGTACAGAAAGAGTTCCTACTTGAACTCATTTTTCCAATTACACTGACTGTATTTAATAATAATTCTGATACCCCTTTGTCCATTATCATTTGATGCATAAATAGAAATAACACTATAATTTCTAACACTTTCCAAAAACTTCACTCAATTTTTCATTTTCCATCCTCCATTAAAAACTTTGTTTCACCCTCATGGTGTTTGTTTTTACCAAGCCCATATTGCGTAGACTTTTTTTTTTTTAAAGGATTTTATTTATTTATTTATTTGACACAAGCAAGCAGAGAGGCAGGCAGAGAGAGAGGGAAGCAGGCTCCCTGTCGAGTAGAGAGCCCGATTCAGGGCTCGATCCCAGGACCCTGAAATCATGATCCAAGCTGAAGGCAGAGGCTTAACCCACTGAGCCACCCAGGTGCCCCTATACCTAAAAAATTTAAAGCCTCCTATTTCACATGTCTTTCTGTATAAGTAAGTTCTGTGAAATTTTTGTGTAGTCTTCAAATATAATGTACAAAATTATAAATAAACTGTGCATGGTTTTTATATAGCTTTAATAAATGTCAAATAAAGTACAGATCCAAAATTTAAAAAAAAAATTACAAAAGTCACACTTACTCTCTAAACTGTGTCTCTCTTTTTCCAGCCATACATAAGATGGTTGCCATGGAAGGAGAAAATGTGAGTTTCCCCAGCACAATTGTGTTGCTGGGCTTCTCAGATTATCCATGGCTAGAAATGCCCCTCTTTGGAGTTGTCCTGGTCTCTTACATCTTCACCCTGATGGGGAACAGCTCCATCATCATTCTTTCCATGGTGGATCCCAGAATCCAGACCCCCATGTACTTCTTCCTGGACAATCTCTCTGTGCTGGACTTTTGTGTCACCTGCACCATTGTGCCCCAGCTGCTGGACAACATGTGGGGGCCAGAGAAGACCATTGTTCCTGGGGCTGCATCACCCAGGCTTACCTCTTCCACTGGACAGGATGCACTGAATGTGCCTTGCTGGCAGTAATGGCTTTAGATCGCTATGCGGCTCTCTGCCAGCCCCTCCAGTACACTCTCATCATGTGGCCACGGGTGTGTGTGCAACTGGCAGTAGCTGCCTGGTCCAGTGGCCTGGCCAACTCAGTACTCCAAGCTACGCTCACTCTCCAGCTCTACCACTGTGGTCACCATTCACTCGACCACTTCTTCTGTGAAGTACCTGTTCTGATCAAGCTGGCCTGTGGTGGCACCACTGTTAATGACCTGTCCTTGGCTGTGGGAGCCATCCCTTTTGCACTGATGGCTCCCCTGCTTGTGTTAATCTCCTACACATTCATTGCCAAGGCTGTGTGGAAGTTACCTTCAGCTAACAGGAGATACAAGGCCCTCAGCGCCTGCAGCTCCCACTTGGTGGTTGTCATCATGTACTTTGGACCAGCCATGTACATGTACTTCCAACCTTCTACCAATAGCACCCAGGTCAAATTCATGTCCTTCTTCTACTGTGTTATCACCCCACTGCTCAACCCACTCATCTACACCCTGAGAAACAAGGATGTGAAGAGAGCATGGAAAAGGATCCTACAACCCCAGAGTGAGGTAAAATCCAAAAAAAGGATAGAAATCATTAAAAAAAAAAAAGCCCAGGTAATCTCTGCCTGTCTTCTGGGACAATCACATGCACAACTCAGTAACTATCAGCAAGTCTGTTTCCAAATGAGTGTCCATGAGCCCCAAGGAAAGAGTTCCCATCTCTTAACATCAACCATCCTAATGCCTAGAGAAACTCTTCCAACTAGAAAGTGCTTGGTTTGAAATCTCAAGTGAAGCAATCCTGCTCCTTTTGACCTTCCCCAAATGTCTGGTTCTCAGTGGAAAGAACGATTCCACACATCCATAGGAGGATAAGCAACACAACATTTTCAAATCCCTTTCCATAACAGCTCCCATTTACCAGATAGCATATAAGAAAATTTGCCAAAAACTTTTGTACAGATCCCAACAAGATATTTAAGTAAGAATTCATTGGATTGATCACATCTTATATGCAAACCTTTTTAATCTCTCCTGTCTCTGAGGATCTCAGGTGCTCTCTCCTTTCTCAAACACCTTATCACCCTATAATTTATCATATTGTTACTTCATCAAAGCCCTCTCCATCTATCTTCAATGATTCACTCATGAAAACAATTTCAGGGGCGCCTGGCTGACTCAGTTGGTGGAACATGAGACTCTTGATCTTGGGGTTATAAATTTGAGCCCCATATTGGGTGTAGAGATTACTTAAAAATAAAATCTTAAAAAAAAAAAAAAGAAAGAAAAACAATTTCAACCTCCCAATAACAAATTTCCTTCACTTCTCTCAATTAATTAATGACAGATATGAGTCAAAATGCCTTTATATTTCTTCTATATGTATGAATTAATTCCTTCATTTGTCTAATTTCACTATTTCAATGTAGCATTTGAGGATTAGAGACAGCCCTCTTCCATTGTATACTGATCAATAAATATTAGGCTCTAAGTGCCCAAGATATATCTGACATAGAGCAGGGATTGAATAAAGGTTTGAACTAAGAGTTAAATACAAAGGTGGTCCCCAGTTATTGATGAGCAAAAGCACATAATGTCCCCACTGAGTTTGTTCTTGACATCTGCCAAGCCATGGGAAACTCCCTTTGTTGAGTGATGCCTTCTTTTGATCTCTTGGACTTCAGTTAATTAACAGATGAAATCGTTTAACACTGTCATTGTATTCTCTTTCCAGGATGCTATTTGAATATATTTATTACCTAAACTAATTTAATCCCCTCCTTTCTGATATGTCTTCTTTCTTCTATGCATCTGAGCAGAAACTGACTCCCTAGCCAAACATTTTGGAAATAGAAACAAAAACTTTGCTCAAAGAGAGGCATCTGCTTCAAATCAGTGATGACTTTGACCCTGCACCCTCTCTGACCTTTCCCAGGGCACAGAAGTCAATCTAGGATGGTATCCAGTCAGGACTTCATTAACTCATTTGAATCAGTTTGATAGACAAATTTTCTCTGTCTATAAAATTTCTAAGAGCAAGCAGGCTCACTTTCTGTTCCCTCCCCCGCAAAAATTCTGAAAATATGATATGTTCCATCTGTTGTAACTTTTTAAATTTATCCTTCTGGAGGAAAGAGATGCAGGAAAATCAGTATATCAGCAAAATCAGTCATCAGTAGATATCTTTTCTATCACAGTTCAGCTTTTGACATTAACCCTAACTTGTTTTTTTTTTTTTTTTTTCTGAGAAAAGGGGAAAACATTTATGTGAAGCATCCAGGAAACTAATTCATGGAAACTGAACAATAGTTTTCAGAGGGAACTCTCAGGAGACTGCTGACAAGAATGGAAGTTTATTTCTGGGACAGGAGTTTTTGGACCACATTGAGCTTTGACTTACAAAGGGAGATATCAGAGTAAAACCACCTGGCTGCTCAGAGAACTGACAGGAGATTATTAGGAATTCATTTGTACCTTGAGTATAAACCAGAAACTCACATATGCAGGGTCTATGAAACACATTTTAAAAGCCTACAAGAAACTTGCATTTAGAGAAAAGAAGTAATTGGGAAAGGTAACAGAAAGTTGGACTAGAATCCCATGTCCACAAACCAGTGTTTTCTCTGCCTTCAACAAGTCTCCCTAGAATGTTAATGATTTATAATTTATAATTAATTAATTTAAATAATTAATTTAATGTTAATGATTTATTATTTATAAATTATAGTTAAAGTAGATTATATCTGCCCATATCTCCTCTTGGATGTTGGATGGATGAGTTTTCTAGAATGACTCTCAGAGAATGAGCTAGCTTGTCTTCGCATTATCTGCAAAGTCTTGGAGTGACTTACCTGGCATCCTGCTATGGCATAAATGTTTCTTCCCTCCCAAAATGTGTACATTGAAATTCTAACAACAAATATGATGGAATTTGGAGATGGGGCCTTTGGGAGGAAATTAGGTCAAAAGGGGTCCACCCTCATGATGGGATTAGTGTTCTTACAAGAGACATAACAGAGATTATATCTCTCTTTCAATATCTCACAATCTCTTTGCCATGTGAGGACACAGTGAGAAAGCAGCCATCTGAATCCCAGGTCTTCCTGGCCAGCAACTCCATCTCAGACTCCCCAGCCTCCAGCACCATGAGAAATAGAAGACCATGAAGCTACCCAGTATACAGGATCTGTCATGACATCCTGACCAGACTTAGACACTCCCTGCGCAGCCTGCGCAAGGGCTGTAGACACCTCTCTCTCCCTACAAAGATGGGAGGGGGATGTCCTGAGATGAGAGGGGCCACAGCAGGTATACCTCTCCCATTGCAGATAAAAGGAAGCTTCAGGAGGTAACACACAAAGACTTACAATAAGTCAGCAGGAACTGAACAGTACCTCAGATATTGTGACACCACAGTTTGAGAAGGAAGTGAGAGGACAGGCATGAGTGACAGATCAGTTCATGTCTCTGTGACCAACAGACACTAAGGTGGTCTGCAGTGATCTGAACTTTCATGTTTCCATGCTTATGCATTTTAAAAATTTAGCTTGCTTAGAAAAAAAAATAAACTAAGTAATTAATTAAAATTTAGCTAATTTGGGTGCATAAAATCTGTCATGAGTGCCTGCTCTCAAAATAAGTCAATCAGAGAAAGACAATTATCATATGATCTCTCTGATATTAGGAATTTGAGAAGCAGAGCGGGGGGTGTACGGGGTAGGGAGGGTAAAAAATGAAATAAGATGGGATCGGGAGAGAGATAAACCATAAGAGACTCTTAATCCCACAAAACAAATTGAGGGTTGCTAGGGGGTGGGGGGATAGGGATAGGGTGGTTGAGTTATGAACATTGGAGAGAGTATGTGAGTGCTGTGAATTGTGTAAGACTAATGATTCACAGACCTGTACTCTTGGGGCAAATAATACATTATATGTAAATAAACATAATTAAAAAAAAAAAAAGAAATGCCTGCTCTCTAGCAACTTACTGCCTCATATTACATGCATTCTGACCCTAGATAACCCCCAAAATAATATTAATCAAGTCAGCCTCCACAACAATCCCACAGCATTAATGATGGAGTTAATTTTGCCCATTTTTGTCACCAGTGGTCTTGTGGAGGCCAAGAAAAACAAGGCTGTACCCACCTGGAGTCTAGCCCTGACATAAGTACAGCCATCTTGGCAAAGCGGAGGCTGGCACCTTGCACCCCCTCTCCACCACTCCCCTCCCCTCGGTAGTATGTGTGATATTCCTCAGCCACTCCTGGCTGCCCTAAAAGAAAAACAAATAGTTAACTTGCAGAGATCACAATCCTGCAAGACAGGAATCTCCCTTGGTTTACCTAGAGATTTAGATTTAGATTTAGGTTTACCTAGAGATGTCCTAGAGATTTACAACAAAGAAGCTCTCTTAACAATAGCACAATTTCCAGAGGCAAATAACTCAGTTCTTTAAGCCCTAATGTCACCCTCCCCACCATAAAACTGAAGGAGGCTGAGGCAGAAGGATATGTAAATAAAGTTAAATTTCTTCTAAACCTAAATCTCACTAACAAGGACACTTGATAAGAAATGTGAAACTTTATCTCTAAACCTCCAAGATAGTGTCAGCGATCATTCCCAAGCATATGACCCACTGATACACATCTAAAGGGTCTCACAAGAAGATTTTAATTATTGGTAATGAATAACCTTTTCCCCAGACAACAGCTAGCCCCTCCAGGTCCTGGAGACCTCGCTTCCAAAATTCCTTAGAGATTTACATCATCCATAACCCCCTTTGTCTTCACCCACCACCGAGTCCACCCCTACTCTGCCTTTTAAAACTCTGACTGTAATCTGGCTTGGGGTCCAAGTCCCTACTCTGCTGTGTCAGGTATACTTGGGCCCAAGCTTTATTTGACAAGTTTATTGTCAAATAAACCCTCTTGTGATTGTATCAGTGCTTGGCTCCTTGGTGGTCTTTCAGATGCAAAAACTCAGGCATAACAGGCCTCATCCAGCAGTTGTGAAAAACCACCCACAAAAGCAAAGATTTAGCAAAGAGCACTTGAAAGAGTTATTCTCAAATTCCACATTCAAAACACCATAGCTCCAAAACCAGTGAGGGATAAAAGACTGCGGCCTGTGAGAGCAGGTGGAAGTGAAGATGGTTCTAACCAAAAAGGTGGTAGCCCCTTGGTATTTTCAGGACTCTGAGCCTACCTGTGCTTGACTCAGGATGGAGCAGAGGAAATGGACTGTGCAACATAGGTGCTCTCACCCACGGACAGAGAGGTCCCTATAACTGGAGGGAAAAGTGAACACCAAGGCGAAATGCAAAACTCAGTGGCACTTTCTGGTTAAAGAAGGATGGGAAGGATGTTCCAGGAGAGGAAGTATCTCCTGATATGACATGGAATTTGTAAAGTTTTGCAGGCGAGGTAAACACACCAGGTGAGGTAGGCACAAGGCAAGATTTATTAAAGGCACTCTCTGGTGAAGTTTCAGGGCTCAGGAGAAGGGGAGCCAGGAAAGTCGTGCCAGGAGGAGTTGGGCACCCTCGGGCGAGGTCCCACAACTCTGGAAAGTAGAGTGGGGGAAGTTGCGCTGGGAGGGAGTCAGCGAAGGGTCTTTTATAGGGCCAAGGCAGGGCATGGGTTCACATCCATACATGATAAGGTATTTGGTGATCGGAGGGTATGGGGGGGGGGTTCCTGATACTTCTGTTTCCTGCATAGGTATCGGGTCACCTATGGAGACGTGACCTGGGCATACATCCTTTTGGCGGGAGAGTCAAGGGTTAAGAAGTGGGGGGAGGGGGCTGGAAGATGGCGTCCCCATGGTCATTTCTATTGTTCCTCCTGCATTCCTAGAGCCACAGACCCAACAGAATTGAAAGGGGAAAAAAACAAAACTGGCTTGTCCCAAGATTCATAACTTTACTCCAGGAGAATGTCAGGTATTTCAGGAATAATGGGAGGAAGTGAGACTCTAGCATGATGGGGCCAGATGATGAAAGGTACCTTTTTTTTCCTCCAGTTTAATAATAAATAGAGATTCCACTTTTAGTCACCTATGTGATAAGCCCAGCAAAGAAACCACACCAGGACACAAAGCCCAGGAATTCTCTTCCCCAAATCATGGTTGTTGGGAAGTGAGTACAAAGTAAGACAGAAGTCTTCAAACACTGGAGCCCATACATCCCTGAAAGATTTTGGGAGAGTAGATAGTTTGCTGGACATTTTAAATTTGACATCATTGGTTTACACACTTGGCAGTGGAGTGTATTGTGGCATAGTCTTTACTTACCAGGTATTTGTTGTAAGCATGTTTACCAAACTTTGGATTTGTGGGTTAGTTTATTCAAGGCTTTGAAAATGTCTCCCAGCTAATTCTGTCAGCTAATCCAGCCCTTGTTTTCAAACCAACTGGGCTATTTGATTTATATTTCATAAGAGAAAACACATCTTCCTTCTTTTACATTAAGTAAGTGTGATAAAAATGCACCCCAGCAACCTCCTTGTCAAGTACAGATTCTAATCCTGACACAGATATTGTTGGAGAGAGGAGACACCAAGGAAAAGTAAACTGATGTAGACTGACAGGCATGATTAAGTGAGAGAGTGAAGGCATGGGGTCTGAGGTGTTTGTTGCTTCTAGGAAACCTGGGGCACTGCCCTCAGGAATTCCTACCTAAGCTCTCTGGGGACTCACTGCCACAAAAAAAAAAAATGGTCGTTTGTTTGCACTATAGAGCAGTGC